AATATTATAGTAATGAGAAACAATAAATTTTTCGGGTATTTCAAAGTGAGGTCAGTAAAGTTTAGTGATCGAAACGGCGATAAGTGATGAAATTAGCAGCTAAAATTGGCTACCAGACTAAAAAGCAGAAACAAAAAATAGGTTTCTCAAAGAAACCCAAGTCTTATCTAACTTGATGCTCTGAGGTGGACTAGCAGGCCTCTGAAAAACTGGATAGATGGGTTCGTGTCAAATGGGCAACACAAAATTAGAGGCAATAAGAAAATTAGTAGCATTCAGAAAGTTTACGGAGTAAGAACCGTGGACGCCAGAATACATTGGCGTAAACAGATAGGTAGTACTTTTTTAAAAAAACAAGGGCAATATAAATCAGAAGGCAAACGACGCACAACGGTAAACACATTTTGCTGTCACAATAACGTCACACAGTGTCACATATTTACGTCACCTGCCATGTTCCCAAATTAATCCCGTCCAAATCCAACTAAGCACTGCTATGCAACAGTGATATTACTGTCCACTGTGGTGGAATGATACGCCGTGAACTAAGTTTGAGTGAGCAAGCTGCCAATAGTGTATACTATCTCAATGCTTTCGATATTAGTAGTAAAGTGGAATTTTAGACCTGGCTAGCTGCGGTACCATTCCTCTTGTTCATTGCGACAACGGTTCCAGGAGCTGGAGGAAATATATCTTAGTATCAAACAGAGTCGTATACCAAAATAGTTGTTGCGTCCTTGAGAAATATTATTATCGAATCAAAGTCCTAGGGAACGGACGTACTATCTACTTTTATTGACTATGATGTCGACTCAGCCCTTTGGCACACCTAAAACATTTTGTGACGGTAACCTTCGGCGACAAGCTGAGTGGATGGGACCTGAAAGTTTGGGCTGAGGCACCGTGTTTGGACAGAAACCGTTGCAATTGCGGTAATTTTTCCAGTAATTTCTTTTATTAGAAGTCGCTGTCCATTTAAGAGGACTTTTATTCGGTCGTGCGAGATATGGCTTAAAATTCCCATCCCCTGAGAAACCAACTTCAAACTTTTTCAAAAGATTAGAAAGCCAGGTTCGTGTTTGAATTATTCTACGTTAAGATCACATGACTATCCGCAGTATATATCAGTTTATTTCAAGCTGGTTGACCTTGAGTGCCATAGTAACCCCTCGGAGATCCACTGCATTACAAAAGTTTACGGCTCTGAAGAGAGGAAAGAGGGTTCAGCTTCATTCACGAATAACCGAATAAACCAAACTGCTTTCAGGAAATTGGTTGGATTCTAAAACACGAAGGAGCAGAAATCACGAAAAAGTCACACCGATTAAGAAAATAAGGTACACAGATGAACAACATATTCGCTACTTTTGAGGGAAAAGTTCCGAATTTTTCTGCAGATCTGTGGTTTTCCAACTTTTCGGTTCATTGCCTGTCATCAACATGACCACTCTCATGTTGCATAACACCTGAACACTATAGCCGAGGTGGTATAGAGATGTATCGAAAAAACTGTGACATCGACTGCCACAACTCGGGGCCTCCAGAGAAGACCTCGCTGATCAGAAGTCACTACTTCAGATAAGATACAACTTCACATCCCGAAAGGCGAAAATCTGTTACGGACTTTTCTCGCTTCAAAAAAGATCACCTGGAGGGTTTCTTTATTTTGTTGCAGAATCTGATCCCCGCATAAGTGGTTATTCCAAGAAGAGCATGGATTGCCACTGATGGCGATAATGGCATCCATTTTAATAATTTTGATTTAAGCAGTCTGAATTTTTGACACTTCTGAAAATCAGACCTATCAGCGTAGGATGTGAATAGGGAGGTTGCGTAAAGAGTACAGTATAGCATAGCCTGATATATGATAAGTCCTCACCATATATCAGCAGATGTTATTCGTTAGTCTATTGCGATAATGCGTGTACAGTGCAAACGTTTTCAACGGGTGGCAAATTGATTTAGCTACTATTGACTCTTTTGCACTATGCTATAGTACCATGCATTCATAAGAGTTGTACCAAAGCCAACCAGGGGTACACTAACACTAACCACGGCGATCAGCGCTACGGAGAATACCAAAACACCACTTGACGAATAAGTGTGCTTTCGTAGCAGTACGATCTCGTCCAGCAACAAGCAGGCTGGAGCATTTTAAAAATTACGATTCATGGATGCATAGCAGAAAACCAAGGTATGTGAACAGTCTTGCAGCACAGTGCAACAACACCTCTCTTGAATCTGTGTGCGTAACAAATGGAGTCAGCATTCTGATAAACAAACTGACTACCAATTGATTAGAAATATACATGGCAGCAAACATGCAGTAGTCAACCCAAAAGAGATAATCATCCAAGTAAGAGCGTTACACTGCTGCCTTGTGGGATAAGCTTTGAAGCTGCTAACCACTGAGAGATTTAAAAATGTTTTTTAGACGCAAAATACCATCCCATTCGCGAACGGGGTGAGAAATTTGTGTACTAATCCTCACATGTCATGTCTTAACAGTAGCACGAATATAATATTGTTACCCCGATGTTAAAGTTGATTCAACTGCCTGAGTTTTATCCACAGACCACTGCAGAGTAGACCATATTTCAGAAAAGCCTACTTGCGCTTGATCTCCAGTAACTTCTCAAAATAACTGAGTTCCTTCGAGACGAGACAGCCTTATAGATAGATCAACCGTGATGAGCTTTTTAGGAAGTCGTTGGAGGTGAAAAAATTCCAACAGATCTGTTCTGAAATTCCCTCGGGACACGCAATAAATAGAAATATTGTGTCATTTAGCAGTAATTTCGTGTTTTTTAGTGTGTATACGTAAGCGCAGTTTTTTTTAATTTTCGCCACTGGTAAAACTTGAGTCAAGCGACGAACCGTAAACCGCAACTGACGTTTGTCACGTGCCCTGGAACATTCCTGCATTTATGACGTGTTTGGCAGGGCACAAGCGGTCAACGGTGCTTCAAATATTGATCTCACCTGAACAAAAAGAATTTTGCAAGATTGTTGGAGTCTTCGACTATTTCCCAAATATATTGGGGTAGGGGGTTAGAAGAATCCCACTCACTGATCCTGATAAGTGCTGTTGCTATTTTCAGTGCAACTGGAATCCGATTTCAGAGTAATAAATTTCGGGGGAAATTAGGGATGACAAAAGTAAAAGGAGGTGACGAAGCTAAAAAACGGCAGAAAGCCTTGAGGTGCAGTTCATTCCATCGTTTAATCTTCAAGTAGGGTAGACATTAAAGTTCCTGATTGTTTGATAGCCATCTAGGGAGAAACCGGATAGGATCTCACTTTCAGATTCACGGGAGCCTCAAATGACCCACCAAGTGAGTAAGACGCACAAGTCTGTCGTACCCAGTGGACTTGGTATGGAATAAGAAATAGCGGAATTAGTTCCCGTTGAACAGTGCATATATGTTAGCATTTAGTCGCCACTCGTTAAATCCCAATCTACAGTTTGCAGCAGCCCAATCAACGGTGATTGAACTATCAACCGTTTTAACCAACCCAGGCTGCGATCACCGCTAATATTGTTTACGATGTTAATGATGGAGCTCTTGTATTGACAACCCATGGGGTATCTATCTTCTTGTTACATCACTTGGACTTTCATTATTAATCTTTATGCTAATTTTTTAGTTTTTACAGATCAGTACGACTGAATGCAAGTTCACTGTCCTGAATTAATCCAGTATTTGTGAAGCAGATACGAATATAAACTAAAGGAGGCATCTCAGTTAAAATATGCATGAAAAAGTACTATTTTCGTCCTCCCTGGTTTTCGAATCCACCGCGCATCTGATGAGAACAAAACTGAGGTCAGATAAAAACTTACGAACATAAGAGTTGTTGGTAGCGGAATGGACAATGAAGTCTTAGATTAATAGGACCTGCTGGTCTGCACCCAGTAGATTTATGCCCTATATAATGATTTTAGAATGAACAATCTTGGCAAACAAAGGATATCAATTCCACTGTTTTCTATTTCCGCAAGTTTTTCAATCCGCAAGAATTGCCAAAGCACAGTCACGTTCCATGGATCCTGTTTTCCAACCCACCCAAAGCTACGAACAAGATCACAAATTGTTTCATCGAGTGGGGATATATCAGCTAAGCCTTAGATCGCACTGTGACATTTGCAGTAGCCGAATTGGCTGTAGCACCACCAAAGATCTTTGGTCCCTAACATGGCACGATTCAACATTAGAAGCTTCGTATAACGAAAATTAACGATTGAAAGATATCCAAGACGCAAATGCTGCGGTGTGATTTTTCGGCACATATGCACCGTTTGCTGTAAAGAATGTAACAGGAATGTTAAGATATGGGTCGTACAAAACCTTCCAAACCATGGAAGAACATAAGTCAGCGAATGTAAACCTTAAAAATGTCCTCCATGGAGGTATTCAACATGTGTCTGATCCCGGCGGGCTTGCCGACAGGAATTACGAGACCTCAAGACGGAAGCGAACAGCTCATCTTGTTGCAGATTATGCATAAACAACCACTGTGTGTTGTTCGTGTGGTTCCCTAAAGATTTCTTGAATAAGCGTGGCATTGCCTTCAGGTTTTTGAGAAAAGTCAGGCTTCACAGTTACATGGTATAATTTGACTCAATTAGACAATGCACATGGTTTCATTAGAAAAGAGTTGCTGACTATTCTGGGTAACCGTTCCCTTCCACAGACGACTGTAAAAAGACCACAAAAAGTAGAGCTAGATCTCACCATTCAGCTGCTGCGTAGTGGTTCAGACCAAATTGGAGATTCTAGTCTCCTAGTTTGACCGTATTTCCGTGTCCAAATCCACTACAGGATAAATGATTTCGGATACAACCATAAGAATTTAGTTGGAATGAACTTCTGACGAAACGATCAATCGAAATATCTCAAAGATACATGAACAGGCCGGTAGCTTGTTTGGTGGCTGCACACGCAAGTGAGGAAACATGAAGGTCTTATTGGTCCATGATTTAACAGAATGTTGCTTACCTTGAGATCCAAATGCACCACACCCAAGTCGTGCATGTGCTTTACACCGAGAAGTATCTGTTCGACAAAATTCGAGGCCTCCTCCTCCGATAGTCTTTCACATTCCGCAACGCGGGCGAAGAGTTCACCACCAGTAACACTAAAGAAAGAGAAAAAGTGGTGTTACAAGCAGCAGTCGGCAAGTGCAAACAAAATGATTTAAGAAACAGTAATTGCCTAGTCTACCCGTTGTGGAAAGCCGAAGCTCTGTGACGTTATTCCCACATGGACAGACTTCAGCTTCAATATGCTTTCTTAATCAAGCACAGAAAAGTGCGGAAACGTGTCAGATGATTCAAAATCTGGACAAAAATCGTAAATGATTCGTTACCGTACATAAAGGCAGCATTTTTTTATCCCAGCTGCAGCCATGATTGTTTTGTCGTGTTTGCTCCATATGTTCATCTCCAGGCTTATACAAGAATGGGCACTCCGCTGCATGACCCAAGAAACCCCCTTTATGAAGACTTTCCCCAATTATGCCAGTTCAGTGTATCAGCAGTAAACCATGTACCAAATGTGCGTTTGATTCAGCTGCTAAAATTTCGGCCGTCGCGAAACGGGAGTGCGTGGGAAATCTAGCCAAGCACTGAAGACGACAACATGACCACTTATTCTGGGAAACAGAGCAGCCACGCACTGAAGGCGATAGTTCTGACGCACAAGTGTCATCAACTGCGTAGTTAAACCACGTCAGACAGTATCGTCAACCACTGGTGAGTTAAGATTATGGGCCCCCATACGGTAGTAGGCAGTTAACAACTTGACTAAGTTTACTAGTTAGCGCTTCCAAACCTCGTTTTCACGTCACAGAGTGACCACCTCTTGGTCGGATGAATGAGGCGAAATTTGCGGGGCAGACGGTTTTGCGACATGCAAAGAAAATAACCCATGAAGCTTGAGTGGCTCGTCCATCGTGGAAGAGTTTTCTTCCACAAGGAAACGAGGCTCAGCTACTGTAAACCACATGACCATTGAAACACTCAAGTCCGACGACCATAACAAAGGGGGCAGCTTTGGGTCCATTATCGCCATGGTTGTCTCATCTAATATTGACACAGTAACCTGAAGGAACTCGTGGGTGTATGGCCTCAGTTGAACTAAACCATTCAGGCGGCCGATGCAGTCCTATTTCAGAAGAGGCGAAATCGCGATGCGGATAAGTGCTGGGCTATGGAAATATCCTACCGCACCTAGCTCTTAATTTTCCAGAGTTTCTTAAAGTCTTATAGGCTTCCATAACCCAACACGATGGAACTTCCTTCATCCTTGCCCGTCTGCACTCTTCATGGTCTACCGGACAACTAAATTTACTTCAACAAATGGCCTCAACCTTGTGGGTTTATAAGCTTTAACTGCAACAGCATGGATGTTGGCTCAACACATATCATCGTCAGCATCGATTAAGTTCCGGTTTCAAAAGGCGTTCGTAGTTCTATGGATAAGAGGAGAATGTTCAATTTCTTCGTAGTAGTTCACTTTAGTAATGCACGCAGGTTGAACTGTCAACAATGTACTAGCATTGGTACCCACTCACTAATAGTTTTCTCTGACTACATAAGAGTTCACTTCCGCAGACTTTAAAGAATCGTATTATTTTCAACCCCCTTTACCTATAGGTGGTTGCAGGATTTGTGGAATCTGTATTCACATCACTCTCGCCTGCTTCTACCTCTTTTTATTCCAGCATACTTGCACACCAAAAAGAAAAACTGAATTCTAGTTAGACTCCTAATAGGGCGCATGTCATTGAACTGGCCGGTGTTTGAATATCAGACTTGACAACCGTAATGAATGTGGAGCGGCCGAGTATTGTCCTTCTATCTGAGAGATTAGCTCACACTTGATAAGTGATCAAGTTTAGGTGGGTCTGCTAGATTAATCTGGGAAGACTTACTCTATTCATCAAACTAGGCAGCATAACTATGCTGGGAATAATTACAGATGCCTGCAATCCACCTGACTTGACATGAATGTCGAACGCGAGGGTGACCGTGCCAGAATTTTCTCCTATTCAAGAGAGTTCAAAAGGTCAATTCAGTTGTATGAGGGGACTTAAAAACACGAGAGAGATCTGTTTCGAGTGGAATCATGTGATGTCACACTAGTGATGAGTGGAGTAGGGTGGAGCAGATATCAGATGAGTAAAACATAACTGAAAAATCAATATGAATGAAGTTGAGCGTAATATAGAATAGGGTAGGACGTGTTAGGCCCAACTTCGTTTCGCAAGAGTTATGGTCGGTCTATGATCAAAACGTCTCTGAAAGGGCTTTGTGAGTGCAGCTCCCGGTAACTAGAATAGAAGCTTATTCCTCCCAGAAGGTGAATGTAAGAATCGTGTTGTTCTTTGTTTGTAGAGTGAATAAATTCACAGCTGTTCTTTTTGGTACGTTGAGAACAGTTTGTAATAATAACTCAGAATTTTATTTCTAAAACTGTTTTAATGACGGGATGTTTCAAGAAGCAGGCTTTGGACTAATAAGTTGGAACCTAATGTTTTTTTTCGGCTGTGGATATATGTGAGATGATCATCGTTTGATAAAGTTTTACCAGTCTACCTGACCAAACCCTGTCCTAATCTTCCCCATCGTATTACGATGGGACTGAAAAACTTCTTTATTACAGTCAAAACTCGTTGAACATCCCTGATTGCACCACGGCTTTTATCAAAAAGGAATATTCACATGAGTCACCCATTTTAGCGCATAGTCCTGACCAGCGTTAGGCGTGCCGACAGATCTGAGGTAACCTTAGGTAACCAGTGAGACAGGCACGGTTGTATCTTTCTGTCTGAACGGGAAAACCTGCAGGGTTGGTTTGCTTCCACTTGTGAGTAACCTGTCAGAAACGTCAAAGAGACCACGCCAAGATGCACTCAAACGGGAGAATGAGAAAAATGTAAAAAAATATGAAAACTATTATATTAAACTTTGTTCCAATGGAAAGGCGAATGTAGAATATGAATGCCGATAATGTGCACTGAAAAACTGTAAATCAAGCCAGTCTTTATTTTCCGAATACGAAATATTTTGACGTTAAAAGGCACTGAGTGACTGAGTAACTAGATTGTGAGCTGTGGACAGAAATAAAGTTGCCAAAGTTCTAAATAATAATCCAGAGTAGTGAAACGCACGCATTTGTATTCCAATTTGGTTTTGACGGCAGAATCACCTGGAACCCAGCTGACTCTCCCTTTGTGATGTGTTTAAGCAATTGAATGTCGTCCGCCAGCTCACCGCATGTTCCTTTTGCACGATACTCAAGATATCGCGATGCATGTATAGACGTAATACATTACTCACAAGTCACTGAAGACTCTCCTACAGTGCACGACCGGTTTTACTCATGTTGGGGATCACCAGGTAGACGCAATCCCCGATTTTCCGTTAACTTTATGTTTAAATTAAACTCAGATTGCTAAAAAAACACCATAAACGAGAGATTTAGCTGGTTTCCAGGTGATTTTCCCGTCAAAACCAGTTGGCACGCAAATGAGTGTAGTATGCTAATTTCGTGCAATTGGGATTCAAGCAGAACATAAAGTTGATGAGAATTCGTAGACCGCGTCTATCTGATGAGCTCCGAGAAGGGCGAAACTGGTCGCAGACTATGGGAGTGTTTTTAGCAACCTTCTGAGTTGTGTATAATATCTAGAGGATACTCTTTATTTTCTCGTCCAAGGGTGCCTATTTTTTGGAATAGGTTCCAAGAGTGGTTCTTGTCAAGCAAGAGGCTTTGTTTTGACTGGCCTTTATTTGAAAGTTTGAATGTGTTGTGTATTTTATTGTGCGTGTATCTAGGTTATACTGGACCTTCAGCTAACAAGAAAAGTATGTTTGAGAAGATCTTACTTGCTGCGTTTTTTCAAGCGTATCGCTCGACTCGTCTTTGTGAGATTTCAGGCAAGCACCCACCCATAACAATGGATATGATTTGGACGAGTGAATAATTCAGTATGCAGGGCAGTGGGTAACTGCTTATATATATATATATATATATATATATATATATATA